GGGGATGACCAGTGAGATATACCTGCTGGAGCGCAGACTACGGGTGGGTGCTGCTATGGTGACCAATGAGCTAAGATAAGGCGGGGATTTGCCTAGCAGTGATTTATAGATGACCTGGAGCCAGTGGGTTTGGCGACAAATACGTAGTGAGGGCCAGCCAACAATGGTGGGTAGTATATGGGGCTTTGGTGACAAAACGGATGGCACTGTGATAGACTACATCCAATTTGCTGAGTAGAGTGTTGGAGGCTATTTTGTAAATGACATCGCCGAAGTCAAGGATCGGTAGGATAGTCCGTTTTACGAGGGCATGTTTAGCAGCATGAGTGAAGGAGGCTTTGTTGCGAAATAGGAAGCCGATTCTAGATTTAACTTTGGATTGGAGATTCTTAATGTGAGTCTGGAAGGAGAGTTTACAGTCTAACCAGACACCTAGGTATTTGTAGTTGTCTACATACTCTAGGTCAGACCCGTCGAGAGTAGTGATTCTAGTCGGGTGGGCGGGGTTATTATGGGGTATTGTGTGTAGATTGATGCATTATTATTATTTTTAAATACATTTTAGAATAAGGCTGTAACGTAACAAAATGTGGAAAAAGTCAAGGGGGCTGAATACTTTTCCGAATGCACTGTAGGTAGGGGTAAAGTGACTAGGCAACAGGATAGATAATAGACAGTAGCAGCAGTATACTGTAGGTAGGGGTAAAGTGACTAGACAACAGGATAGATAATAGACAGTAGCAGCAGTATACTGTAGGTAGGGGTAAAGTGACTAGGCAACAGGATAGATAATAGACAGTAGCAGCAGTATACTGTAGGTAGGGGTAAAGTGACTAGACAACAGGATAGATAATAGACAGTAGCAGCAGTATACTGTAGGTAGGGGTAAAGGGAATAGACAACAGGATAGATAATAGACAGTAGCAGCAGTATACTGTAGGTAGGGGTAAAGTGACTAGACAACAGGATAGATAATAGACAGTAGCAGCAGTATACTGTAGGTAGGGGTAAAGGGACTAGGCAACAGGATAGATAATAGACAGTAGCAGCAGTATACTGTAGGTAGGGGTAAAGTGACGAGGCAACAGGATAGATAATAGACAGTAGCAGCAGTATACTGTAGGTAGGGGTAAAGTGACTAGACAACAGGATAGATAATAGACAGTAGCAGCAGTATACTGTAGGTAGGGGTAAAGTGACTAGACAACAGGATAGATAATAGACAGTAACAGCAGTATACTGTAGGTAGGGGTAAAGTGACTAGACAACAGGATAGATAATAGACAGTAGCAGCAGTATACTGTAGGTAGGGGTAAAGTGACTAGACAACAGGATAGATAATAGACAGTAGCAGCAGTATACTGTAGGTAGGGGTAAAGTGACTAGGCAACAGGATAGATAATAGACAGTAGCAGCAGTATACTGTAGGTAGGGGTAAAGTGACTAGGCAACAGGATAGATAATAGACAGTAGCAGCAGTATACTGTAGGTAGGGGTAAAGGGACTAGACAACAGGATAGATAATAGACAGTAGCAGCAGTATACTGTAGGTAGGGGTAAAGTGACTAGACAACAGGATAGATAATAGACAGTAGCAGCAGTATACTGTAGGTAGGGGTAAAGTGACTAGGCAACAGGATAGATAATAGACAGTAGCAGCAGTATACTGTAGGTAGGGGTAAAGTGACTAGACAACAGGATAGATAATAGACAGTAGCAGCAGTATACTGTAGGTAGGGGTAAAGGGACTAGGCAACAGGATAGATAATAGACAGTAGCAGCAGTATACTGTAGGTAGGGGTAAAGTGACTAGACAACAGGATAGATAATAAACAGTAGCGGCAGGGTATGTGGTGAGTGTGGAAGTGTCTGTGTGGCGACAGAGTGTGTGTGTGTGTGTGTGTGTGTGTGTGTGTGTGTGTGTGTGTGTGTGTGTGTGAGTGTGTGTGTGTGAGAGTGTATGGCTAGAGTCCAGTGTGCGTGCATAGTCAGAGAGTTAATGCAAAAAGGGTCAATGCCAATGTAGCTATTTGATTAACTATTTAGTAGTCTTATGGCTTAAGGGTAGAAATTGTTCAGGGTCCTGTTGGTTCCAGACTTGGTGCATTGGTACCGCTTGCCGTACCGTAGCAGAGAGAGAGCAGTCTGAGTCTGGAGTCTTTTACCATTTTTAGGGCCTTCCTCTGACACCGCCTGGTATAAAAATCCTGGATGGCAGGGAACTCGGCCCCGGTGATGTACCCTCTGTAGCGCCTTGCGGTCTAATGCCAAGCAGTTGCCATACAAAGGGGTGATGCAACCAGTCGATGCTCTCAATGGTACAGCTGTAGACCTTTTTGAGGATCTGAGGGCCCATGCGAAATCGTTTCAGCCTCCTGAGGAGGAAGAGGCGTTGTCGCGCCTTCTTCACAACTGTTTTGGTGTGTGTGGACCATGTTAATTCCTTAGTGACGTGGACACTGAGGAACTTGAAGCTCTCGACCCTCTCCCCTACAGCTCCGTCTATGTGGATGGGGGCGTGCTCGGCCCTTAATTTCCTGTAGTCCACGATCAGCTCCTTGCTGACGTTCAGGGAGAGGTTGTTGTCCTGGCACCACACATTCAAGTCATTGATCTCCTCCCTATAGGCTGTCTCATCATCGTCGGTGATCAGGCCTACCACTGTCGTGTCGTCAGCAAACAAATGATGGTGTTGGAGTTGTGCGCGGCCACGCAGTCGTGGGTGAACAGGGAGTACAGGAGGGGACTAAGCATGCACCCCTGAGGGGCCCACGTGTTGAGGGTCAGCGTGGCCGGATGTGTTGTTACCTACCCTCACCACCTGGGGGGCTGCACGTCAGGAAGTCCAGGATCCAGTTGCAGAGGGAGGTGTTTAGTCCCAGCGTCCTTAGCTTAGTGATGAGCTTGGAGGGCACTATGGTGTTGAATGCTGAGCTGTAGTCAATTAACAGCATTCTCACATAGGTGTTCCTCTTGTCCAGGTGGGAGAGGGAAGTGTGGAGTGCAATAGATACTGCGTCATCTGTGGATCTGTTGGGGCGGTATGCGAATTGGAGTGGGTCCAGGGGGGGGATGATGGTGTTGATGTGAGCCCATGACCAGCTTTTCAAAGCATTTCATGGCTACAGATGTGAGTGCTACGGGGCGGTAGTCATTTAGACAGGTTACCTTGGCGTTCTTGGGCACAGGGACTATGGTGGTCTGCTTGAAACACGTAGCTATTACAGACTGGGTCAGGGAGAGGTTGAAAATGTCAGTGAAGACACTTGCCAACTGGTTAGCGCATGCTTTCAGTATATGTCCTGGTAATCCATCTGGCCCTGCGGCCTTGTGAATGCTAACCTATTTCAAGGTCTTACTCACAGAGTGTCATCACAGTCATCCGGAACAGATGGTGCGCTCATGCATGGTTCTGTGTTGCTTGCCTCGAAGCAAACATGAAAGGCATTTAGCTCGTCTGGTAGGCTTGTGTCACTGGGCAGCTCGCGACTGGTTTTCCCTTTGTAATCCATGATAGTTTGCAAGCCCTGCCACATCAGACGATCTTAGTTCTGTATTGACTCTTTGCCTGTTTGATACCTCGTCGGTGGTTGCAGCGGGATTTTCTTATAAGTGTCGATTAGTGTCCCGCTCCTTAAAAAGCAGCAGCTTTAGCTCAGTGGGGATGTTTCCTGTAGTCCATGGCTTCTGGTTAGGATGTGTACGTGCGGTCACTGTGGAGACAACATCATCGATGCACTTATTAATGAAGCCGGTGACTAATGTGGTAAACTCCTCAATGCCATTGGATGAATCCCGGAACATATTCCAGTCTGTGCTAGCTAAACAGTCCTGTAGCTTAGCATTCGCTTCATTGGACCACTTTCATATTGAGCACGTCACTGGTACTTCCTGTTTTGAGGTTTTGTTTATAAGCAGGAAGCAGGAGGATAGAGTTCTGGTCTGATTTGCCAAAGGGAGGGCGAGGGAGGGCCTTGTATGTGTTTCTGTGTGTGGAGTAAAGGTGATCTAGAGTTTTGTATGTGTTTCTGTGTGTGGAGTAAAGGTGATCTAGAGTTTTGTATGTGTCTGTGTGTGGAGTAAAGGTGATCTAGAGTTTTGTATGTGTCTGTGTGTGGAGTAAAGGTGATCTAGAGTTTTGTCTCCTCTAGTTGCACAGGAGACATGCTGGTAAAAATGAGGTAAAAACTGATTTCAGTTTCCCTGCATTAAAATCACCGGCCACTAGGAGCGCCGCCTCTGGATGTTAATTTTCTTGTTTGCTTATGGCCCTTAAACAGCTGGTTGATTGCGGTCTTAGTGCCAGCATCGGTTTGTCGTGGTAAATAGACAGCTACAAAAAATATAGATTTAAAAAACTATCTTGGTAAATAGTGTGCAGCTTTATCGTGAGGTATTCTAACTCTTGAGACTTCCTTAACATTAGAGACCAGCTGTTGTTAACAAAGAGAGACGCCCCCTTTAGTCTTACCCGACGCCCCTTCCCCTTTAGTCTTACCCGACGCCCCTTCCCCTTTAGTCTTACCCGACGCCCCTTCCCCTTTAGTCTTACCCGACGCCCCTTCCCCTTTAGTCTTACCCGACGCCCCTTCCCCGTTAGTCTTACCCGACGCCCCTTCCCCTTTAGTCTTACCCGACGCCCCTTCCCCGTTAGTCTTACCGACGCCCCTTCCCCTTTAGTCTTACCCGACGCCCCTTCCCCTTTAGTCTTACCCGACGCCCCTTCCCCTTTAGTCTTACCCGACGCCCTTCCCCTTTAGTCTTACCCGACGCCCTTCCCCTTTAGTCTTACCCGACGCCCCTTCCCCTTAGTCTTACCCGACGCCCCTTCCCCTTAGTCTTACCCGACGCCCCTTCCCCTTTAGTCTTACCCGACGCCCCTTCCCTTATGTCTTACCCGACGCCCCTTCCCCTTTAGTCTTACCGACGCCCCTTCCCCTTTAGTCTTACCCGACGCCCCTTCCCCTTTAGTCTTACCCGACGCCCCTTCCCCTTTAGTCTTACCCGACGCCCTTCCCCTTTAGTCTTACCCGACGCCCCTTCCCCTTTAGTCTTACCCGACGCCCCTTCCCTTTAGTCTTACCCGACGCCCCTTCCCCTTTAGTCTTACCCGACGCCCCTTCCCCTTTAGTCTTACCCGACGCCCCTTCCCCTTTAGTCTTACCCGACGCCCCTTCCCCTTTAGTCTTACCCGACGCCCCTTCCCCTTTAGTCTTACCCGACGCCCCTTCCCCTTTAGTCTTACCCGACGCCCCTTCCCCTTTAGTCTTACCCGACGCCCCTTCCCCTTTAGTCTTACCCGACGCCCTTCCCCTTTAGTCTTACCCGACGCCCCTTCCCCTTTAGTCTTACCCGACGCCCCTTCCCCTTTAGTCTTACCCGACGCCCCTTCCCCGTTTAGTCTTACCCGACGCCCCTTCCCCTTTAGTCTTACCCGACGCCCCTTCCCCTTTAGTCTTACCCGACGCCCCTTCCCCGTTAGTCTTACCCGACGCCCCTTCCCCTTTAGTCTTACCCGACGCCCCTTCCCCTTTAGTCTTACCCGACGCCCCTTCCCCTTTAGTCTTACCCGACGCCCTTCCCCGTTAGTCTTACCACGACGCCCCTTCCCCTTTTAGTCTTACCCGACGCCCCTTCCCCTTTAGTCTTACCCGACGCCCCTTCCCCTTTAGTCTTACCGAGCCTCCCCTATCTCCGACGCCCCTTCCCCGTTTAGTCTTACCCGACGCCCCTTCCCCTTTAGTCTTACCCGACGCCCTTCCCTATCTCCCGACCCTTCCCCTTTAGTCTTACCCGACGCCCCTTCCCCTTTAGTCTTACCCGACGCCCCTTCCCCGTTAGTCTTACCCGACGCCCCTTCCCCTTTAGTCTTACCCGACGCCCCTTCCCCGTTTAGTCTTACCCGACGCCCCTTCCCCTTTAGTCTTACCCGACGCCCCTTCCCCGTTTAGTCTTACCCGACGCCCTTCCCTTAGTCTTACCCGACGCCCTTCCCCGTTAGTCTTACCCGACGCCCCTTCCCCTTAGTCTTACCCGACGCCCCTTCCCCGTTTAGTCTTACCCGACGCCCCTTCCCCGTTAGTCTTACCCGACGCCCCTTCCCCTTTAGTCTTACCCGACGCCCCTTCCCCGTTTAGTCTTACCCGACGCCCCTTCCCCGTTAGTCTTACCCGACGCCCCTTCCCCAGTTAGTCTTACCCGACGCCCCTTCCCCGTTAGTCTTACCCGACGCCCCTTCCCCGTTATGTCTTCACCCGACGCCCCTTCCCCGTTAGTCTTACCCGACGCCCCTTCCCCGTTAGTCTTACCCGACGCCCCTTCCCGTTAGTCTTACCCGACGCCCCTTCCCCGTTTAGTCTTACCCGACGCCCCTTCCCCGTTAGTCTTACCCGACGCCCCTTCCCCGTTATTAGTCTTACACCCGACGCCCCTTCCCCTTAGTCTTACCCGACGCCCCTTCCCCGTTATCTACCGCCCCCTTCCCTTAGTCTACCCGACGCCCCTTCCCCGTTATCTTACCGACGCCCCTTCCTTAGTCTTACCCGACGCCCCTCCCTTAGTCTTACCCGACCCCTCCCCGTTAGTCTTACCCGACGCCCCTTCCCCCCTTTAGTCTTACCCGACGCCCTTCCCCGTTTAGTCTTACCCGACGCCCCTTCCCCGTTAGTCTTACCGACGCCCCTTCCCCGTTAGTCTTACCCGACGCCCCTTCCCCTTAGTCTTACCCGACGCCCCTTCCCCTTTAGTCTTACCCGACGCCCCTTCCCCTTTAGTCTTACCCGACGCCCCTTCCCCGTTAGTCTTACCCGACGCCCCTTCCCCGTTAGTCTTACCCGACGCCCCTTCCCCGTTTAGCTTACCCGACGCCCCTTCCCCTTTAGTCTTACCCGACGCCCCTTCCCCTTTAGTCTTACCCGACGCCCCTTCCCCTTTAGTCTTACCCGACGCCCCTTCCCCTTTAGTCTTACCCGACGCCCCTTCCCTTTAGTCTTACCACCCTACCCCGACTACCGACCCCTTCCCTTAGTTTACCCACGCCCCTTCCCCTTTAGTCTACCGACGCCCTTCCCTTAGTCTTACCCGCCCCTTCCCCGTTTAGTCTTACCCGACGCCCCCCTTCCCGCTTTAGTCTTACCCGACGCCCCTTCCCCTTTAGTCTTACCCGACGCCCCTTCCCCTTTAGTCTTACCCGACGCCCCTTCCCCTTTAGTCTTACCCGACGCCCCTTCCCCGTTAGTCTTACCCGACGCCCCTTCCCGTTAGTCTTACCCGACGCCCCTTCCCCTTTAGTCTTACCCGACGCCCTCCCTTACTTACCCGACGCCCCTTCCTTAGTCTTACCCGACGCCCCTTCCCCTTTAGTCTTCACCCCTTCCGTCACGCGCCCCTTCCCCTTTAGTCTTACCCGACGCCCCTTCCCCTTTAGTCTTACCCGACGCCCCTTCCCCGTTAGTCTTACCCGACGCCCCTTCCCCGTTAGTCTTACCCGACGCCCCTTCCCCTTTAGTCTTACCCGACGCCCCTTCCCCTTTAGTCTTACCCGACGCCCCTTCCCCTTTAGTCTTACCCGACGCCCCTTCCCCTTTAGTCTTACCCGACGCCCCTTCCCCGTTAGTCTTACCCGACGCCCCTTCCCCGTTAGTCTTACCCGACGCCCCTTCCCCGTTAGTCTTACCCGACGCCCCCCTTCCCCGTTTAGTCTTACCCGACGCCCCTTCCCCGTTAGTCTTACCCGACGCCCCTTCCCCTTTAGTCTTACCCCGACGCCCCTTCCCCGTTAGTCTTACCCGACGCCCCTTCCCCTTTAGTCTTACCCGACGCCCCTTCCCCTTTAGTCTTACCCGACGCCCCTTCCCCGTTAGTCTTACCCGACGCCCCTTCCCCTTTAGTCTTACCCCGACAGCCCCTTCCCCTTTAGTCTTACCCGACGCCCTTCCCCGTTAGTCTTACCCGACGCCCCTTCCCCTTTAGTCTTACCCGACGCCCCTTTCCCCGTTAGTCTTACCCGACGCCCCTTCCCCCGTTAGTCTTACCCGACGCCCCTCCCCTTTAGTCTTACCCGACGCCCCTTCCCTTTAGTCTTACCCGACGCCCCTTCCCCTTTAGTCTTACCCGACGCCCCTTCCCCTTTAGTCTTACCCGACGCCCCTTCCCCTTTAGTCTTACCCGACGCCCCTTCCCCTTTAGTCTTACCCGACGCCCCTTCCCCTTTAGTCTTACCCGACGCCCCTTCCCCTTTAGTCTTACCCGACGCCCCTTCCCCTTGTAGTCCTCTTACCCGAGGCGCTGTCCCTTAGTCTTAACCCGACGCCCCTTCCCCTTTAGTCTTACCCGAGGCCGCTGTCCCGTTAGTCTTACCCGACGCCCCTTCCCCGTTAGTCTTACCCGACGCCCCTTCCCCGTTAGTCTTACCCGACGCCCCTTCCCCGTTAGTCTTACCCGACGCCCCTTTCCCGTTAGTCTTACCCGACGCCCCTTTCCCGTTAGTCTTACCCGACGCCCCTTTCCCGTTAGTCTTACCCGACGCCCCTTTCCCGTTAGTCTTACCCGAGGCCCCTTCCCCGTTAGTCTTACCCGACGCCCCTTCCCCGTTAGTCTTACCCGACGCCCCTTTCCCGTTAGTCTTACCCGACGCCCCTTCCCCGTTAGTCTTACCCGACGCCCCTTCCCCGTTAGTCTTACCCGACGCCCCTTCCCCTTTCGTCTTACACGAGGCCCCTTTCCCGTGAGTCTTACCACGACGCCCCTTTCCCGTTAGTCTTATTACCCGAACGCCCCCTTCCCCTTTAGGTCTACCCGACGACCCTTCCCTTTCCCCTTTAGTCCTTACTCCGACGCCCCCTTCCCCGTTCAGTGCTTACCCGACGCCCCTTCCCGTTAGTCTTACCGCGCCCCCTTCCACGTTTTAGTCTTACCCGACGCCCACTTCCCCTTTAGTCTTACCCGACGCCCCTTCCCGTTTTTAGTCTTACCCGACGCCCCTTCCCCGTTAGTCTTACCCGAGGCCCCTTCCCCGTTAGTTCGTAACCCGACGCCCCTTCCCCGGTTTAGTCTTACCCGACGCCCTTTCCCGTTCGTCTTACCCGACCCCCTTCCCCGTGTAGTCTTACCCGACGCCCCTTTCCAAGTTAGTTTCTTACCGACGACCACCCTTCCTACCTTCCCGTTTTTAGTCTTTACCCGACGCCCCTTACCCGTTAGTCTTACCCGACGCCCCTTCTTCCCGTTAGTCTTACCCGACGCCCCTTTCCCGTTTAGTCTACCCGACGCCCCTTTCCCGTTAGTCTTACCCGACGCCCCTTTCCCGTTAGTCTTACCGAGGCCCCTTTCCCCGTTTAGTCTTACCCGACGCCCCTTCCCGTTTTAGTCTTACCCGACGCCCCTTCCCCGTTAGTCTACCCGACGCCCCTTTCCCGTAGTCTTACCCGACGCACCCTTCCCCGTTAGTCTTACCCGACGCCCCATTCCCCGTTAGTCTTACCCGACTGCCCCTCCCCTTTAGTCTTACCCGAGGCTGCTGTCCCGTTAGTTTTACCCGAGCCCACTTCCCCTTTAGTCTTACCCGAGGCCCCTTCCCCGTTAGTCTTACCCGAGGCCCCTTCCCCGTTAGTCTTACCCGAGGCTGCTGTCCCGTTAGTCTTACCCGAGGCTGCTGTCCCGTTAGTCTTACCCGACGCCCCTTCCCCTTTAGTCTTACCCGAGGCTGCTGTCCCGTTAGTCTTACCCGACGCCCCTTCCCCTTTAGTCTTACCCGAGGCTGCTGTCCCGTTAGTCTTACCCGACGCCCCTTCCCCGTTAGTCTTACCCAAGGCTGCTGTCCGGTCTTGACGATGCATGGAAAAGCCAGCGAGATGTATTTTATTAATGTCCTTGTTCAGCCATGACTCTGAGAAACATAGTATATTACAGTTCTTCAGGTCCCGTTGATAGGATAGTCTCTTTTGACTGTATATATGCCGGAGGGTGGAGGCGGCGTTGCCAAGGTGCCGGAGGGTGGGAG